CTCGCAGCGCCTGATGTATAGTAGAAACTCAATAAACTTTGGTTCAACTTACAAACGTTCTAAGCTGTATAGAGGTACAGTAACTCACTTAATACTCTTCATAACAGCACGAGGAAAATACCATTAATATCCTCATTTGATTTATGAGGAAACCAAGACACAAGAAGTTAAGTTCTTCCTCAGAGAAGACCAGCAAATAAATGGCCGAGGCAAGCTTTGAATCTAGGCAGATGTGACTCTGAAGTCCATGTTCTTATATTAACCACTATTTTATAGATTGATCCTACATAGTTTCCATGTGGTATTGAATCTTCTAGAAATTACTTGCTGGTGGTGCTCTGTCCCATACACAGAGTTCCATGAGTAGGATCGCCACGTGGCTTGAACAAATCCATTCCTAGTATGCAACTCCAAGGACTTCTAACTTGCTCTTAAATTCCTGTGAGTAATTATTTGTCATAAGAGAAAAGAGCCAATTTTGTCACGGGAACTCCTCCATTAGTATGGACATCCATTTAAATTAGTCTATGAATTGACTAAGTAACATATTCACCTGAGTCCTGCCCAGAATCTGCTTATTTGCTTACCTGTTGTTATGCTAGGAGGTATAAGACATGGCCGTTGCCCTCGGTGCTGAGCCACCTCCACCGCCACCAACCACCCTGTCCTGGGCTCCTATCTGGCAACCCTATGGAGCAAGTTGTGCTATGGCGCCATTGTGCAGCTGAGAAAACTGCAACTCATAGAGGTCACTCATGTGCATGAGGTCACACAGCCAGCGAACATTTATGCTCATGACTGTCTGACTTAGGTCCTTCTTGGAGAAATAAGAGCAACATCATTAGAGAATCTGGTAAGGCTTCCACGGTGGCTTGTCCTTGGCTTGTCTGGAGGAAGAACAGGAGACGTGTTATCAGTACTCAGCAGGCTAGAGCCTCACTATCTTTATGGTATCCTGGGATACCATATCTCGGGGAAGGAAACAGAAGAAAAACTTTCTCCTGATCTGAGAAATGAGCATTTCTAGCAAAAAAAAGGAGAAATAATGCACACCACAGGCATTTTCTTTTCATTGTTCCTGATTTAAATATCAGTACTGACTTTTGGTTTGAGCAACAAAATGATTTCATGGTCTAAAACGATACTACTCTAAAGTCAGAGTTTTTCCTTAAGAAAAGTAGACAAAGCTTCAAAATCACTTCATCTTCTATCCAGAGGGAAGAATATTTTTCTATAATAAATTTCACTTTAAAATTAAGCAATGGGACTACAAGAGTTTTTTCTTTTCCCTTAACTCACTACGTAATTTTTCAATTTGTGGGGGAAGCCAGAAGATGAATTTCTTCATAGGAAATGGAAGGTTATATAAATATTTTCTCAGAAGGGGCATGCACAGACAATATTAATTAAAAGTGATGAAATGGTATAACCTATGACATCTAATTTTGCTTGTGTTTTAGTGCATTGATTGATGGAATCCAATTTCCTTTTTCCTTTATTTAAACCCTTTTTTTATGGTTCCTGAACAAAAAGCTTAGTATTGAGCAAACTTGATAAGTTAAGACTAATGTGCACAAAGCACACATTCCTTCCCAAACATTCTTTCCCCTCTACTTGGCCAGCTAAGCACACACTGTTCTTTCAAGTAAGTCAAGAATAATTTTTGCGTGTGCAATGCTGAAAATTAATTGACTTGTTTGAGTTTTCTCTTAGGAAAGATTCCATGGGCAGGCAGCACTGATGCTCAGTGCAGAGACGACTCTGCCTGTCTTCCCTGGTTCGGGTCTCCTTGCCGCACTCCCTTTCCTGCTGGATGGGGAACCCCCAGGCCTGTGTCATTGGAGACGGGGCCCGGGGAAGGACACGCTCAAAGCTTTCTAATGTCACCGTTTCCACAAAGTGTCAGGGGCTCTTTGTTCCTCAGGCACTAATTCTCAATAAAGTCTACCCAACTTTCTGTCTCTCAGTCTCTTCCCTTCAATGCAAGGGCAGCCCAGACACAAGGGTTGAGGGAACACCTGCTTCTGTTTCCGCCTGGGTCACGCTGGTGCTTGGGGGGTGGCATTTGCACGACAGGCAGGCTCTCGGGGTTCTCTGGAAGGTGGAGACTGTGCGCAGATGCCAGCCCTTCTGGCCCTGCCAGGTTGGACCCTGCACCCCCAGGTCCCCTCTCGCCAGCATCTCTGCCTCCCTGTGGTGGCCAAGGGGACTGACTGCGCTTTCTACTCCTCCTGGTGTTCCCTCACGCTCATGCTCAGCCACGAACGTGCCACAACAAAACTCCTCGAGCCCCAAGCCTTGGTGACACATCTGTAGGTGTCACAGCTCCTGGTGATACGTCCTGTCCATTCCTACTCGCAGCCATTTTCCTTTTGGCACGTCACCGCGGCGGAGTGGCGGGGCAATGAGGTGTCAGCACCAGCTGTGCGTGGCCCGGGACTGGCTGCTTCCTGCTCTACTGAGGCCCTGCTGTCGCGTCTGGATCGTCCTCCAGACTCTCCTGCCCCGCCGCTGTGGTGACTGTCCCCATTGTCCTTTTCCATTTTGGAGTCTCACATAGGGTTATGCTAGTTCACCAGGCACGTTTTGATACCTTTGGCCCTTCAACACAAAGGGTCAGCCTCGTAATCCTCTCTCTTCTAGGTCCTCTCCCTCTTTGTAAATTCATGTTTGCAAAATGACACATGGGGGAAGGCCAGCACCCAGAAATTTCGATGGCCAAAAATGGAGAGTGACATCTACCTCGTCCGCCAATGGTGTCCAGGCCTCAAACTCTTGCCTTGCCCCACATTATGAAAGGATGACGAAGGGATTTGAGTTCGTGCCATCTGTTGATGATTGAATGCCATTTATTTTTCTTTATGCCTCGAAAACTTTTGCAGCTGCCACAGGGCTTTGTTTATCAGGTGGTGTGATGCTAGAGGGTCTCTCCAAAGCACTACCACCAGAGAGTAGGGTTCTATCTCTCTCTTAAGTCCGGGGTGATACCCCGATGTTGAAGTGACATTTCTTCCTGGCACATCCACTCATCATCTCCTTAGACATGGGCCTGCTGCTTTGAGAATAAAATCCAGGTTCTCAGGTCTTAAGAGCATTTTCTTCAGTGTTTCTGCCCTGTGCTTCTAAGCAGAGCTCCTTCTGGTTCTGAGCCTTTGCAGGGAACCGCCCGCTGCATGTGCAGGGAGAGTCAGCCAGCGCCTGCTCCCGGGGCTTGGACAGGAGCGGCTGGAAAAATACCATCATCCCCGGGGCCAGAGAGGAGCTTACCCAGAAAGTTGCCAGACAGCTTTAGGAAGGAAAACAATATTTAGCAAGGATAAAATAGCATTAGCCTATCAGCCAGCACCTTTGACAGTACAGCATAAGCTTCCTAAAGCTTTAGGTGCTGCTTGGTGGGGTTTATGTCAGCTACTTAAGGAAGAGCATGTCAGGCCGAATGGAGCCTACTCGGTTATGGACACAGAGAAGGGCACTGGTGATAGAAATACACCACCCAGTGCAGTGTGGAGTCTCAAAACACACCGTGACAGAGTGCTAACCTTGGCCCCCGCCTCCATACACAGAAACCACTGGTGTGAAAGCCTATGCTGAAATCCTTTGTTTTGCTTTTGCAAATAAAATCATATTCAAAATATTCTAGAGTTAAAAACAGATTCTATGGGGAACCCTTTCATAATAAAAAATAATATAAATCGAATCCACTTACTCCTAATTTATTAACTGATACTTTATGAATCAATTACATTGAGGTGTAATTTACACACAGTAAAAGGCACCCATTTCAACAATGGAATTCAATTTATTTAAAGTGTAAAATTGAGTTTTGACAGTTGTGCATACCAGTGAAATCACTGCCACAAGTGAGATACACAATATTTGCATTGCCCCTGAAAGTTTCCTTTTGTCCCTTTGAAGTTCTTCTCCACCTCTGTCCCAGGCCTCAGGCAAACACTGATCTGCTTTTCATCACTGTGGGCTTAGTTTGTATTTTCCAGAGTTTTATACAAATAGTATCATGCAGTATAGACTCTTCTGTGTCTGGCTTCTTTCATTCAATGTGATGATTTTAAGATATACCTATGCGGTTGCCTGTATCAGTGGTCCACATTGCACCACACCCACCCTGAACAGTCCTTTGTTTTTTCTTTTGCTAAGTAGTATTCTATCATATGAATATGCCACAGTTTGTTTATCAATACCTGCTGGTGAATATTTGAATTGTTTCCAGTTTTTAGTTATTATAAATAATGCCACTGTCAACATTCATATACAAGTCTTTGTGTGAACTTATATTCTCATTTCTTTTGGGTGAATTCCTAAGACTGGACTGACTGAATCCTATGGAAGGTATATATTTACCTTTTTAAGACACTGACACCTAGTTTTTTCTAAGTAGTTGTACCATTTAACATCCCTACCAGCGGTGTATGAGAGTTCCAGTTGCTCCACATCCTCCCCAACATTTGTCATTGTCAATATATATCACATTTTCTTAAAGTGTAAATTCTTGTAAATTAATGTTTGCAAATATATATAATTGAGTATAATACATACAAAGTCCTGGAGAATTTTTTTTTTTAGTGACTGAAGAAGTGTTTGAATCTTTTCCTTCCTTTTCTTCTGATGTTCTATTAAATTGAACACTTAGGAAAGAAAATTCGTGTTCTTCAAGTCACTAGGGAACCCTTGAGCCCACTGCAGCTATGGTTAACAAAAGACACCATTTTTAGTATCCTGACAGAGAAAATTTTATTTCTTAAACATCAAAATACAGCTGGAGAGGAATGAAGAAGAAAAAAGTGATTAACAATTGTATGGGGTGGGGGCTGTGTTGGGATACGGCGATTTCCACAATAGCTCTATTAAACGATTATGTACGGCTGCATCGTTGTCCTCAAACACCAGCTCCACCTACAGACTTCACAGGCTGGCAGCCGAGCTGAGCCACACTACCTCTAGGAGTGGCCAACCACTCCTAGTGGCCAACCTCTAGGAGGCTTTCTCCAGTTTTCCGTTCACCACTGTTACTCCTTCCATTTTAACAGGGTCTTCTAAGAGACCAGGGGTCCTGAGAAGTAGGTGGCAGCCATGACCAACTTGAGACTCATGTCCAGTTTGCCTTGAGACTCTGTTTTGCTGCCAACTACTGCCCGAACTATGATGTTGTCAGTGAGGAAGTTGGCTGGTGTCGCAGGGTGAGGTGGAAGTCCGTGGAGAGCAGGAAGCTGTGGGTGGGGTGGTCGCTGAGGTATGTCGGCCATAGCCAGTACACCAGCAGGTCTTGAGTACCGTGCGAGCTGGAGTTTAAGGATGGGTGGGGCTCCTTTGTAAGGCAAATGTGCAAAAGTGGAGAGAGAAGAAGAGGGGAAGAGAGAGAGGGGAAAAGAAAACAGAAGGCAAACTTTTATGACCAAGGAAAAGACCTTTCTGAAAATACAAAAATGATAGCAGTTTCCCATTTTTATATTAAAAATAAAACATACCAATAACCTCTGCACACTATTGCAATGACATTTTTTTGGGGGGGGGGCAGTGCCAGCACTATAGGACCTATGGCAAGTGCATTGTCACCTAACCTCAGCACATGTGGGGTGCAGCTGGGTGAAGGGGCGAATGCGCCCAGAGCTTGGCTCTGCTGCCTGCCGACCTCAACTCCTCTGGGCCTCAGTTTCCTCCTCAGTAACGCAGCAGGGACAACGCCCTCATCAAAGGGCGACTGTGAAGATCAGGACGAGACAATGTGAGAAGAGGGCGGATAAAAGTTTGTGTTCACGACATTTCACATTTTCCAGCTTTGAAACACTATCCACGAGAGTCAAGTTTGAACAGTCTCTTCTTCAAGGGCATAATGGGAACACAGGATTTAAAAACAGTCTTCTGCGTGCCTTTTACTTCCATTGTTTTGGTTATTAGCAACCTGGATGCTTGTAGACGGGCAGCACTTGAAGGAGAAAGATCACAGCTCGAGAAAGTTTAATGCTTTTCATTTCGTGAGGACAGCTTGGCGTATTTCGGTGATCCTCGTTTCAGATGCAGTTCTACCCGGCCTCGCAGCATGGCACCAACCTGCCCTTCCCCCTGCGGACTGTCCACGGTTTTTCTCCAGTGAACCTCGATTCGTTACCAGGATGCCTGGTGTTTCCATGCCTACGAGGCCTGTTTTCCAAACTGGCTGTTCTCGGGGCTGGCAGGAGTGAACTGACTTCATTCCAGAAACATTTTAAACTTCCTGAAAGATTAAATGGCCGTGAGTGTTCCCACACATCCTCTGCAGTGTTCTTTGTTAAGGTCAAGGTTCATGCTTTCTTTACAAATCTGATGATTTTTCAGTAATTGTCGATCTGAAAGGTAACATCCATCCCAAGCTACTCTGCACTGCCAACAAAAAGGCCCGTTTTCCTGCTGTTCCTTCTGATGCTTTGCTCTCCAGCTACTTCCTCAGTGGTGCTGCTTTCCAGAACTTTCACCTGCTCTAGGTGAACGTGCATTCTTTGCTCTGCCTTGGCGACGCTACCCACGGCGTTTGACGCTGAGGACTAAAAATAGCGAGATGAAGCCCGAAGCGTTCTCCAAGGAAATCAAATAGATAGATTTAAAAAAAAAAAGTTTGAAAGAAGAGATTATATTCTCTCTGTTCATTCAGCTCTTTCCAGAAGTTGTGCAAACAGAACTTCTGCAGGGTGCCTGCTGGTGAAGAACTCACAGGATTGATCTTTAACCATTACGGAGAAATTGTGGGATTAGATATTTTCCATTATTTTTGCAAGGCCGTTCTTACAGCTATGATTTCCTTGCACATATGAGTACCAGTTGAGTAAAGTCCCCTCTGCCCGATAATTGTTAATCAAACATTGACTTCTAAAATCCTAATCTTGTACCATGCTGGTAATAGTCTACATATAGCTTTACATTGTGTCTACTAAATAATAAACTTCAGAAAAAACTCAACTGGTAACC